AGGGGGAAAAATGAGGGGGGCCCTTTGCTGAGATTTGGGGGGGAAACTTCGGCTGGACGCGCTGCCTCTCCGCACCGACCCCGCCGGGAAGGCGCCCGCTGCGGGCCGGGGGGTGTCCCGGGCCGGGGGGTGTCCCGGGCCGGGGGGTGTCCCGGCGGGGCCGGTCCCGTTTCAGCTGCGTTTACACGGGGTTTTCGTTCGTCTCCCTGACCCGGTGGGAGGCGAACCGCAGCTTTCTGAGTATTTCGCTGTCTCCGTGGTTGTGGGCAAGGTGCCCCCCAGGCTGCTGCCCCCCGGTGAGGGCAGAGGATGCTCCCTCACCATGCTCAGGGGAGATCTGCCGTCCCGGGGGGGTTTGCTCCTCTTACATCCCAGGATTCACGTTGTTCATTGCACAAGCAGCGGAGCTGGCTCTCAGCAACGTGACCTTCCTGGCACGGGAGGGGTCGGGTTTGTCACCGTCCTGGGACGGGACAGGGACAGGGACAGGGACAGGGACAGGGCGGGGAGCGGGGGGGCGCGGGGGATGGAGCATCTGCCAGAGTCGGGTAACGCTGCTGAGCGCCCCGGCTGTGAATCCCCCCGGCGCGGCCGGAGACCCGTCTCTTCCCACACGAAGCATCCACCGGGCCCCCCCGGCTCCGGAGGGGCTTCCACTGCCCGCTGACACTGCTCCACTTTTTCAACTGCTGGCCTGGTGATGTAATAAAAAAAAGTTTCCTCTAATCTGCAAAAATACCACTACATGGCATAACTATCTCCTCTAGGAAAACAAGGTCTTTTCCTCGGGCTCTGGAGGAGATGGCGGGTGAGCAGCCGGTGATCAAAGGGGAGTGACTGTGCGTGTCCCGGTGGAGAAAGTTCTGAGTAATTGCAGTATCAGGCCCGGTAGTGTTGGAGTGGTTTTACCCAGGTACCACCCCTGAGCTTCCAGGAGCGTGCTGAGTTTTGCTTATGTCTTTATTTCCTTTAAGTGGCAACTGCCCTAGGAAAACCCCAGAGGAGATTCAACACAGTCAACACAATCATTTCGTAACGTGGGAGTCTGATCTCACCCCTAAGGTGGAGGAGTTTCACTGGGATGATGCTGGGGTGATGCAGGGCTGGCCTGGCGGCTGCTGGGGCAAGGGCAGGACACCTCCTCCCCAGCAGCACGAAGCAAACCGCGCTACAACCAGGAGCAGGTTGCTTTTCGGACAGCGTCGGTCACCACGGGGACGGCCAGGCGAGGGGCACGTGGCACCCGAGCACCGTGGGGGTCTCGTGTCCCTGGGTCCGCTCCCGAGAGTCGCTTTAGGGGACACCGGCGTGCGGGCGAGGGGCAGCCCGGAGCACGGCAGCGGGGGGGAGGCGAGGGAAGCGGCCGTGGCTCCCCAGAACCGCCCGCAAAGGAGACAAAGTCAGAGAGAGCGGCTCTGCCGGCCGAGCAGCGCGACAGTGAAAGTGCAAAGGAGCCGGAGGAGCGGGGGAGCGACGGGTGCGTGTGCCCCGTCCCTGGCCGGGGCCTTGCAAGTGGAGCAGCCGAGCGAGGAATGAAAGCAGGGAGCAGCAGCTGGGGGCTGCCACAGGCCCGGGCCCTCGCGCCCGCGCTGTGCGAGTGACGGGGGTCTGAGGGCGGCAGCAGGGACGGAATTTTGTAACCGCGAGGCTGCCCCGCGTGTCGCTCGCCAGCGGGAGCGGGCTGGGCGTCCATCGAGGGCAAACACCTCCGAGTGCCCAGCCCTGGCCCCTGGCCCACCGCAGCGCCCGCGCCCTTCCTCCGGAGGGGTTTTGGGAAGGGTGATGGTTTTCCGCGTGCCGGCGGAGGGGGCTCTGGTCCCTCATTTGTCACTTCTCTGCTCCAGGAACAGCCTGCTGATGGGGGAGAGCAGGACAGGCCCCGGGCTGCCACCAAAACCGTCACCAGCCCCGCTCCGAGCCGCTACGGCATCCGAGCACTGAGCCTCCGTGCCCGGGGCAAGGAGACCCCCGTAACAGGGGCTTTGGCTTCCCGTCGGACGAGGCACCTCGCAGGGTGGCTTTCAGCAGTGAGAAAGAAACAAGGAGTCTATTCTGGAAACATTCTGGGAATAAAGGTAAGAAGAAAACTGTTAAAGTGAGAAAAAAGATTGAAAAAAAAAAATAAGTCATCCAAGTATGATCAAGCGCCGCTTTTGCTTCATGCCATTTCTTTTATCAAATGTCCTGTGTAAAAGCACAGCTTATGCCTAAAGGAAGAGCAAGGCCGAGGCCTTCACCCTGCTGCCATGCTGCGATGTCCCTGCAGAACCCGAGACTGCTCGGCTGTGTTGCCAGCACACCTTTGTTAACTTGGGTTGTTAATTTTGGGATCTGCGTGTTTTGCGATGCTGCAGGCGTCCTGCCTGAGGATGCTCTTCTGGCCGACCCTGTCTCCATCCCCATCCCCTTCCCTGTCCCTGTCCCTGTCCCTGTGCTCCTGCTGGCAGATGCCCCCTGGGGCCGTGGGACGGGGCAGCACTTGGCAAAGAACATGTCCCATGGCTTTGACATTGGGGACAAAACATTCTGAATCGGTTTAAAACATATCGAAAAACTAGTTTAACTTCATTTTCCATAGCGTGGCCTGAATCTAACTTGAAAGCGTGAAAATGCTGCCCTTCAGCACCCTGTGTTTGTGGTTGGGGAGTGAGGGGGAGGACACTCCAGCCTCAAAAGCCATTTGGAGCTGGGGTCCCTCTCCCCGCGCAGCAGCTGAGCGAGACACTGTGCCTTTGCAAAGAGCACTCTCACCTTAGGTGGCTAAATGGAAATAAATTCAAGGTGGAGAACGAGTGCATCAATGGCTTCTGTAAAACCGTGAGCAAAGACAAAGCAGCATCAAGATCAGCTGTTCGGCACCTTTGGTGTCACTCAGCTGTGAAAGTGGAGCTTTGCTCTCGTGCGCTGCTCGAGCCATGAGTGAGCTTCTCAGCATCGCCATCGGGAAAACAAGCTGCAATTCAGCTCAGGAAACCGTATAAAAAGAAATAGTAACTTCTCCCAGCGATGTCAGGTGCTGAGCACACACAAGGGTCTGCAGGAGCGAGGGGGATCCCCCCGCACCCACGCCCGGGCCGGGCCCCGCGCTCTGGCAGCCGCCGAGGCCGCAGCGCCCGCGGCCAGTCAGGTCCAGCCAGGCTGGATTCTGCCCTGCGCGGTGTAGGTGTGTTTGAAATTTTAATCTAATCTAAATCTTTTATTGGATTTCTTGAAAGGCGGAAAATATTTACTAGTTTGCCTTGCTAGCCTCTGTGGATTTCAGTGTATTTCGGCGAGAGCGTTCTCGAAAGCAGGGAGCGACGCCGAGGCCGCCCCCAGCGAGGGGTTTGTGCTCACGGCCGGCAGAGGAGGCTCGGGCAGAGCGGCCGCGCGTTTCACCTCTCCCTTCAGCCACGGGTAATTAGGCAGAGGCTGAGGTCGCTGCTCCTGTTCTCAGAGTCCTGCCCAAAGCCAGCAAAGCCTCTGATGCAACGCAAGCTGCTGCTGGGAGGAAGCCTCTGCGGCCGGCCACGCGCTGGGGGCCGGGGGCCGGGGGGTCCACGTCCCAGGACACGTGTTCTAACACGTCAGGCTACGTCTGACGCCTCATGTAATAGGAAATCATCACCTCTCCTTGCGTCATGGAGGGAGACGTCATAAATCCTACTGGGCTTACCCTTTTATCAAACCCTGCATATGCTCCTCCGGAGATTTTGCAGATTTTCCAATAAATCAGTGACTCAGTGTCACCTTTTTTTTTCCCTGAATAGTAAGGGGGACACAGTTGGTCCCGCTCTCCAAGAGGCCTGTGCGCACCCTTCAGCTTCCTCTTTACCTCTGGGGCTCTGTCTACACACAACTCCGCGTCAATCTGGTTTCTGCTTTGCCGAGTCCTGCTCATTATTGAGATATCGCTGTATTACTTCAGCACTCTTTCTTCTAGGATGCTGAGTTATACACACATTAATCTTTAACTATGTTCTCCCACAGTTTAAATATGAAAAATGTTCTAAGCACCTGACTCAGGTTTGTTTTGAAATCCTGCCTCGGGATATTAAGATTTAGTAACACAAATTCTCACCTTAAAAATAGCAGCACAAAATGTTCTGTTTACTCACAACGTGAATGTAAAATATGCAGCATCCCTCACATGAGCAGTGGGAGCATACCGATAGTATCTGAAAGACAAAGGAATTTGGTGGAAAAAACCAATCCTTGTCCTTCCCCTGGCGGGCAGCAGCACTGAGCAGCATTCCCGCTCCTGGGAAAGGTGCTGCTGGGTCCAGGTCCTCTTCTCCAGCCCCCTCCAATAGCCCGGTGCACTGACGTACTTTTTACTTTTAAGAAAAATTGTCCTGAGCCCTGTATTAGCTTGAATACTAGATGCTCTTGGCCTGAATTCTGCCCGAAACCAGCTCCTGTGTGTACTGCGTGGTCCGCCTAGTGCTGGCAGAGGTTTCAGACGGTGTGAGGGAGGTACCAGTGCGCACACAAAGCACCGACTGCCTGAAGTTACCCCGTTAGTGACGGCAACATCCGCAGGGCCTGGGCTGGTACGGGGGCACGGCCCTGGCCGGCAGGTCCGCGTCGCTGAGCTCCCGTGGGGCTGGAAGGGACCCCAGAGGGATGCGACAAAAACGTTCGCTGCTTTTGGCACGGCAAAGCACCACCCCCGGCCTCGTGCCCTCTCAGGGCTGAGGGGCCGTCTCGCCGCCGCGGTGTGACCCTGCAGAACGTCTGCTCTGACCTTCCCCGGGTGTAAACCCATGGTGGTGCCTTCGCTTAGCTCCTCCGCTTCTGCTCTGCTGACAGTGCCACGTTCTCGGCCTAACACAAACCCTGCGTCTCACCTCTTTCAGTGTCGTCTCTCCCCCTTGCAGGCAGCAGCATGAACCTGAAGAAATACTTCATTCGGGCGCTGCACCGCCTGCAGAAGGGCCCCGGCTACACCTACAAGGAGCTGCTGGTCTGGTACTGCGACAACACCAACACCCACGGCCCGAAGCGCATCATCAAAGAGGGGCCGAAGAAGAAATTCATCTGGTTCTTCCTAACGCTGCTCTTTGCGTCTCTGGTCTTCTGGCAGTGGGGTATCCTCATCAACACCTACCTCTCCTACAACGTCACTTCCTCTCTCTCTATTGGCTTCAAGACCATGAAGTTCCCCGCAGTCACGGTCTGCAATGCCAACCCTTTCAAGTAAGTTCTTCTTCGGCTAATTAACCCGGTCGTGGTTTAACACCCTCAGCTGTAGAGCTGGTGGAAGGGACTGCAGAGCCATTCCTGTCTCAGATACCCCGTTAGCAGCATCACCACGACTCACCAAGTGGCACCAAAACCCAAATAAAGGAGCACAATAGGAAGGCGAATGGCTCAGGTCCAGAGGAGGGTCCGTGGGCTGCGAGTTTGCCCGGTTTCCCATATTGTGTCAGTTAATCGGATGATGGTTAATTGCCTCCCTGTGAATTTTCCCTGGCTCAGGGAAAACTCGAACTTCAACTCACCTGTTACAGCCAAAATCAGTCTCTCGATCTTTCCCCACAGTTCCTTTCTTCCTCCCTCCGCGCTGTGCAGGCGCCTCTCTCCGCTCACACGCTGCCCACCGGGAGCTGGTTAACCAGCTGCGGCGCTGGGCCGCGGCCGTTGTCTCAGAGTAACTGGGTTTTGTTAAAAGTTACTTCAAATTTATACCCACGCAGTAGCGTAGCCCGAGGCAAGATGCTCTTGACCGACACACAGGAATTTGGGTTTTTTCCTCTGCTTGCTAGTTGTGTGAACTGTGGTGGATCCCTGAAGCGGAGCGGTGCGGCGCGGGCTGTCCCACTCTGCTCACACCGCAGCGCTCCGCTTGCCCTCCCGCCCCAGCTGCAGGCTGCTGGGCTGCCCGTGCCCCAGCACGGAGGCTCCCGGCGATCTCCAGGGAGTCTCTAGCAGCGATCCGAGCTGCCCAGGAAGGTCCCAGCCGGCGGAGCAGCAGAGCTGCTGCACGTCCCCACCACCCCTACGCCGCCTGGTAACGGCTCTCGTCCTGCAGATACTCGGAGGTGAAGCATCTGCTGAAGGAGCTGGACAGGCTCATCGAGGCGGCGCTGGAGAGGATCCTGCAGCCCACGCCCGGCAACGGCAGCGACAGCAGCTCCCCGCCGCTCGACCTGGGGCTCTGGCACCAGATCCCCCTGGTCCTCATCGATGAGCACGACAAAGACAACCCCGTCATCCTGGACATCTTTGAGAGCAACCCGGCTGCTGGGGGCAACGAAACCGCTGCGGGCAACCAAACCGCTGCTGGGGGCAACGAAACCGCTGCGGGCAACCAAACCGCTGAGGGCAACCAAACTGTTGAGGGCAACCAAACCACTGCTGGGGGCAACGAAACCGCTGAGGGCAATGAAACCGCTGAGGGCAACCAAACCACCGCTCCACCTGCCCCAGCCAACACGACGTTGGAGGAAAAGAAGTACAAGCTGGCGGTGAAGCTGGTGAGGGGGGTCCCTGGGGAGGCAGGCGGGGAGGGTGGGGATCGGTGGCTCTTC